CACACGCAAGAGGTGCCACCTGAAACTGAGTTTGCACGTGGCAGATGTCCAAAGGGGAAGACTTGATAAAGGATATCCTTGTAGGTTGATATTCTTTTGCTTTTTTTAAAGCAAGGTGATTTTTTTTTTCTTTTTATTCACAGAAGCTCTGTGGAAATGATGATCTCAGTGCTTCTGTGACATCCCAGCATTTTGAAGAACAATCGGTGAGTGACATTCCTTTAAAACAACTAAACACGAAAGTCCATAATATAAATATTATCAAATGTTCAGGTGTGTGTTTCTTTGCCTCATTTATTTCTAAAGAATGCTCAACTATATCCACCTACAAAGACAGGCCTTGCAAATTATAGCTGGAAAAGATTAATTCAGTGTCTATTGATTTGTCAGTCTGGGATAGATTCTTCTAAAAATACAGAGCAGCTATGAAATCGAGTGAGCTAGTGGGGGAGACAAGGCCATTTGCATGGACGAGGGAACTCTCAGAAGAAGGCTGTCAGAGGGGACTTAGCCACAGGATCGGTTAATTGAACAAGAAGTTATTCCATCTGTCCTTTCTCGTCGGAAAGACAAACGATCGAACTTGTGCAAAACTCTAGTTTAAAACTTTAATTGGATTCATTTAATAAATATTCAAAACTAGACTCGATTGGACATTATGGCCCTGGGAGGGATACGTCCTGGAGAGAGAAGTGAACGGCAGTGGGGTGGTGGGGGGAATGTGAAGGTGAGTGTAGGAAACACCGCAGCGGGGGCCGGGGGATGAAGGAAAAACGTGCAGGACGTGGGTCAGCACTGGACAGCGACAGACGTGTCCCCTGAGCGGGTCGGATGGACGCGTGGGCTCAGTAGGCTAGCCGCTGAGCGCTTCTGCACTGACGTGTTTATTACACGTGGGGGTGTGTGCCAGAGTCGACGGGGGCTGGTGAGAAGTAGGGGGCGGCGGAGGGAGACACTTCACATCTGGGCTTGGAAGTGGGACACATGTCCGTGTCAGCTGCCTGCGCTTTCCTCTCTGGCCGCTCCACCGTGAGCGGCGGAATAAGGAATCCCGCCGTCCGCGAGCGACGTTAAGCCTGTTACTGAGGCTGGCATTCCTCTTACCTAATGCTTCTAGCAGAGTGACTGTTGCAGAGATCTCACAATGCCTTCGACTTCTGGTGGAACCCCCACTGGAAAGACAAGGAACTCCCACTGGAAAGACAAGGAACGGGTCAACCAAGCAGACTGACCAAGTCGTCAGAGTGAGGGGGCGATGACGCTTTAAGAGTAGCCATTCAAGGGACCATGTTTCCCCCACTGCCCCTTAAATTTAGAAGTGTTTCTGAAATTCTCTCCCGGGGGCCCAAGACAACTGACTGAACTTGCTTCTCCGTTGGTGCAGGCTCTTGGGGAAGCCGGCGATGGCGTGAGTAACCTCCCCAGCCCGTTCGCCTACTTGCTGACCATACACCTGAAGGAGGGACGGAACCTGGTCATCCGGGACCGCTGCGGTAAGGCTGGGCCCCGTTGTGCTGTTTGTCACCAGGAGGGCTCCGTCTGCCCCTCCCCTGCCCCCCAACAGTGTTCTCAGCGGCCTCAGCATGGCTTGCGACCGGCTGAGCCTCATATCTGTGCCTCTCGGCCCATCGAAGCATTTGCAGCAAGTTATTTAAGCATATTGAAACTTACTGTCCTTTACTGTTATTAAATTCGTGGTCATCATAATTATAATCGTCATCACATAAAGTCGTGTTAAGTGAGCTAAGATCACTATAATAGCTTCATGTCCGGCACGTAGCAACTGCTCAAGAAAACGTTCCCTTCATCCTGCTTTAATTATCCACGAGAAAGATGAACGTACATTCTCAGTGGAGTCATCAAACATGCACAGAGATGGAAATGCCCTTTGAACCACACCCCTTCTGCCCTGGAACCCCAGTGGACTCCCCTCCCTCAGGAAAACATCTGTTATCTGTACGTGATTGACTTGTTCACCTTTTCTGCATGTTTCTGTGAATTTACACACACATTTAAAAAATTAAAATGAAATTATAATGTTCATATTATTCTAGCACTTAATAAAAGTTAGCTGTTGTTCCTGGCTAGGACAGAACCTAGAAATGCAAGTATAGGGTTTAGGGGAGTGTATATTTTTAAGCTTTAGGAATACTGGCAAATTTCCCTCCAAAATGTACACTACGTCCTCCTCTATTATACCTGAATATGCCGCCTCTTTGTTCCCATTGAATATTTACTCGTATCACTTTCCATAGTTTTTGACGATCTCGTGGTCAGGTGTCGACTCCCCTTTTAATTTGTACTCCTTGGATTACGATGTGAACACGGTCACCTGCATTTCTCCTGCGAAGTTCTCTGTAGCCTCTGCCCAGCTTTCAGTTGAGTTTTCCCTTCTAAATATTTGTAATTCTTTATAGTTTTTCATTACCATTTGTTTTATGTTGCAAGTATTTTTCTCCCAGACTGTTGTTCATCCCCCATTTTTATGGCCTCCTTTGTCCTTCAGAGATTTTACATTTCACTATAGGCAAACGCATCTGTTTTTCCTCTGTGGCCTTTTTCATCTGTTCTGTGTAGTAGGTGTTCCTCTGACTTTCCGCTTTCAGAAAGAATTCCTCAGTTGCTCTCCCAGCTTACTCATGGTCTTGTCGGTTATCACTGTGCTGTGCTTTGCATCCAAGGGGCACAATCATAAAGCAGCGGAAAGTTTCTATATGTATAAACCACGCGTATCCTGAGTCTTGCTCTGAACCCGTAGTGTCCACCGGGGCCTCCATCAAATCATGGTCATTATCGAGCTTGTTTTGTGACAATTTAATCTGGAGATTAGAAGTGTGATCCATAGAGAGTACATTCAACTTTATTGGGAAAAAAGTGCCCCAACCCTTTGAAAAACATGACCTGTTTCAGATTTTTGGCATATCTCCAATGGTGTATGACTTTGGGAGGTACCCAGGCCCCGGACCTCTTCTCGGGCTGGTGGCCCCTTTGTCAGTGTCCCCACATTTTCTGGTTCTTTCCCAGTTATCCATGTGAAAGAACTCAGTAGATGTTCTCCCTACTTCGTAGATGCTGAAGAAGCCATTGCACACATGAGAGGGCGGCAGAAACACGGGGTTTATGCACCCTGCGCCACATCTCGCTGTTTCAGGGCCGAAGGACAGACCTTCGTCTGTGCGCTAACCCCGGCCATTGCCATCTCTGTCTGCCCAGCTCCGTCAGAGTTAACACGTGACAATTTGGCTTTACCGTCTGTAACCCTAATATAACCCACGTGTAAATACTTTATAGGCGTTTAGACGTGACGCGTGTCGCGGTGGCACCTGTGTCTTTGATATTGATGCCCAGCAGTGATCTTCCCGTTGAGTTTCTTTCTTTCTTTCTTTCTTTCTTTCTTTCTTTCTTTCTTTCTTTCTTTCTTTCTTTCTTTCTTTCTTTCTTTCTTTCTTTCTTTCTTT